GGCTGTTGTGACGGTTGGGACAAGCTCTTATTGCATATACATTAACGCTTCTGTACAGCTGTTATCCTGCTGTTTAGTTGTGTGTCAACTTGAAAGGCGCTTATTCAACCTTTTCCCGGTTATCCAATAATCACTACACAATTTTCTCTTGAAGCCGGGTTAAATACTGTTTACGCTTTTTTATGGAGGAATTTATTGAGTTTACTTTGCTGTGAATCAAATTAATCGAAATAAGTAGCAAGTCATCACCAAATTATTTACTCTGCACCGGACCTGGAATCGAACTCGAGACGATCGCATTGGCAAACCTTGACACTACCAACTATCCTACGCCAACACTTTGAACCCACTAACAATTTTCGCAATGTAAACGCTTTACTCATTTCATTTATACAGCCTCAAGCTGTATTCAAATGTTATACGATATGAGGAAACCTTTACTCTACCTCTATACAAGCAAATCTGGCGAACTTAGTCAGCTATGGCTGTTGTGACGGTTCGGACAAGCTCTTATTGCATATCTATTTACGCTTCTATACAGCTGTTATCCTGCTGTTAAGTTGTGTGTGAAAATTGAAAAGCGCTTACTCAACCTTTACCCGATTATCCAATAATCACTACACAGTTTTCTTTTGACGCCAGGTTAAATATTGTTTACGCTCTTTTTTTTTTGTTGGAGAGATTTATCAAGTTTATTTTATTCGAATCAAATTAATCGAAATTAGTTATAAACACGCCACCAAATGATTTACACTGTACCGGAACCTGGAATCGAACTCGAAACGACCGCATTGGCGAACCTTGATACTACCAACTTCGCTACGCCAACACATTGAACTGACGTAAACAAAAACACATGTCCTTCTACAACTAGATCGCTGAGTAGAGGCTTTATAATAGTGCATATGAATCACTTTTCTCGACTAGTTAATTCCGCTTTGAAAAGAGTAAAAGCTGTAACACGTCTAAAAATAAACCTAGTTGACTGTAAAATAGCTTTCAAAGTAGCGCTAACACAGTTAGTTGAGTACAGGTTGTTTAGTTGTTGAAAAAGCACTTTTGATGTTTATGTTATTCAGCAAGAGTGGTTGGTTGTGTAGAAGCCATCAAATAAGTAATATATTGCCTTTATTAGCTTTGTTTTGCAGCTAAAGTTGCAAGTTGATGAAAATTTGTATAGAAGTGACATTAGCGTTTATTGGCTGCTGTTACTAAGTGCTACTGACAAATTGAATAATGTTTGTGAAAATGTTGAGTAATCGCTCTCCAAAACTATTTTGCTAGCTTCTGTTTGTAGCTGTATCTGCAGCTTTGTTTCAGCTACTTTACAGCACAACGCTGAAAAAGTTGGCTTACAAAGCTTAAAATGTTAGTTGGGAACTGCTGTAAACAAATCAATATGCCGTTTTACAACAAAATCGCTGAGTAGACGCTTTATAATAGTGCACATAAATCACTTTTCTCGACTAGTTACTTCAGCTTTGTAAAGGAGCAGAGTAAAAGCTGTAAAACTGCACACGTCTAAAAATAAACCTAGTTGACTGTGAAAATGCTTCCGAAGTAGCTCTAACACAGTTTATTAGCTGAGTACAGGTTGTTTAGTTGTTGAAAAAGCACTTTTGATGTTTATTTTATTCAGCAAGAGTGGTTGGTTGTGTAGAAGCCATCAAATGAGTAATATATTCACTTGATTAGCTTTGTTTTGCAGTAACAAGTTGAAAGTTGATTAGTATGTGTATAAAAGAGACATAAGCGTTTTTTGTTATTTTGTTGTTATTCAGTGTGACTGACAAATTGAATAATGGTTGTGAAAATGTTGAGTAAACGCTCTCCAAAATTATTTTGCTAGCTTCTGCTTGTAGCTGTATCTGCAGCTTCTTTTCAGCTACTTTACAGCAAAACGCTGGAAAAGTTGGCTTATAAAGCTGAAAATGTTAGTTGGGTAGCCATCAGCTTCAAGCAAACTGCAGTAACTTTTATGAAGTTCTATGACTTCAGGGATATCCAGAAAACTTCAGAGATGTCAAAAAATCATCTGAGGAGAAGTCTGCAGAGCTGTAGGAGAATTATGGAAAATTTCAAGAAAGCTAGGTCTAGAGATCTCCAGGAAAGCTCAGATCGACTCAGAACTTAAGATCAACTTTCAGGGAAGTTTTAAAATGTGTCGTTATTGGGAGAAGATAATAAGTAGTACTAAGATAGGGTAAATGTCGGCTTCGGCACCCATTGACTGTTTTCGGCAATCAAAATTTAAACGTTAATTTCACTATGTTTTACCATCAACACACTTCCCTGAATGTATCCAAATGATTCTTTAGTCTTTCAGCTTCAATCTGATTATATTTGTAGGACCGAGTAATCCTTTTATGCCAGATTTTTCTTCAAATGAAGCATACGTAATACAAAATGGGGCTGATTTCGAGTTGCCGATAATAGAACAGCTGGTTAACACGCAGTTCTAATGGGAAGGTTGCCGAAGAAAAAGAGGCTGCCGACAATAGTCACACTCACCTGAGAAGTTTAGAGCGTTGTAAAAACGCTTTCAAACAGTTTTGAAGAATTCTGTCGATTGGAATGGATAGAGAAGCAAGCAGCAGATGAATTGAAACAAACAGACACGTCATATATGTGCGTGACGCTGTGAAAATGCTAATAGAAGTGCGGACGCTGCTTAGATTGACGAGAATACGTAAATTCCCCTATGTAATTGTAAAATACCATAAATTCAGCCGTCTCCGGTACGGTAAACACTCCTTAACTGACTAAGCTATCGGCATGCTTTAGCTGTTCATGAGGTGTAGCACTACCTCGGCGTAAGGAACCAGGGGTTGAAAACGTTGACGTTTTTTTGCTACATTCACTTCGTTGTCATGCGCGACAGTCTGTTTGTATTCATACACTCATGCTCTACCGTTGTCTTTCTCATATAACACAAACGGTAGAACAACATTCGAGTAAAAAGAAATTTATCAAATAACTATCATATGACATGTGCGATTTCGTTCTAATTCCTCAATTTGGTGTAAATTAACACATTTCTGATCAGAAATGTTATTACTACACTCAAAAAATTCCACACGTTTGATCGAAGTGTTTAAACACTTGATTTTTTAAATGCACAATCACATTTACTTTAAGTGTATTTCACTTTGGTTCAATGTGTTATACACGTTAATTTATAGTGTTTCAAACTTTGAAATGTTCAAAATCTTTTACTATCTATTCAAGTGTATTGCACATTGATTCACACTACTGTTCAAAACAGATGGATTTAAATGCATTTCAATGCCATGTAAATTGCTTGCTCAGAAAGGTAAACATCGAAAACAAGACTTGTGACATTATCCTATCAACCCGCCTCATAGCAATCGAGGCGATTCATAGCATAAGATTCACACATTAAATGGATGTGTTTCACAATAAGCACAAAATTAAGTGTGAGACACATGATGATGACGTGGGGATTTTTTTGAGTGTAGGATATCGTTGCTTGATATTTTCAAAATTCACACAAGCACAACTTCACCAGCTCTTATTATGAGAAAAACTAAAATATATACATTCGTAACGGCCTTCGGCGACAGTGTCGTATGACATTGTAGTTTGGTAGAATACTATGATAGCTTGTTTTGCAAGTGTCGGAGGTAAAGACAGCCGATTATTACAGAAAACGCGTCGACTACGGTGATCGCTTATAAGACTGTGAGGAACCCATTACAGCCATAAGCACAATGAAGACAACCAGCTACAATCGACAGTAATGCAATAAATTCTTTGCTCTCTATTTAAGCAACTGCTGTGAATCAAATTCAGTGATATTGTGTTGGAGTGTTCGACTGTGAGGTTTTACAATAAACAGTTTCGGCTTGGCAGTCTGGCAATCACTCAATCAGAACAAATTAATTTTGTAATTTGTCCCTACGTTTCGGCTCTGCAAATTCAGTGAGACTATAGGAAAACTGATTTAAGGGGGGTTTGCCGAAATGAACTGAATATTCCGAAGTGGTGCCACACCCTAGCGATTGAAACGACGAGCGATTTATTTCATTTTAATAATCATTACCCGAACCTCATCAACTATATCATCATCGTTCAGATACCGACCCACTGACGAAGGCGCGACGTGAATTTCCCTTCGATTCGCGAATATGGGAGTTTCCTTTTTCCCTGTCCGTCCTGCTGACAGCCAGCGCATGCAAAAATGCTAATGATTTCTTCGGGGCCAACGTGGTCAATCAAGATGTTCCTACGTCCTCCAGCCAGTGTTGCGGACTCGTACGGGAACCACCCACCCCGAGGCTGCGACATCACGATCAGTGTGAACGATAGGATGCTCATTCCCGTTTATTTATTTGCCCGCCGACCGACCGCCATCGCCGTGCTGTTGATCGGTTTCCGATCAGCGCAAGTGAGGAGAAAAGGGTTGATTTAAACAAGCGCGCTCGGTTCAACTAGCTATATAGAGGTAGGGCTGATGACTGCCGCTCCGAGGCAGCGCGAGCGCCCTGGGGTTACAATTAATTTAATTTGCCATGATAGTGGGTTGTACAAATGAAATTAGTGCAGCAAAAGGTGAATTTAATTACGTCTCAGTGTTTGCAATAAGTACAACGCGCAGGTATGGAGAAAATTAAAATGCTACCGGTACTAATGGTGCATCCACACGGGGGAACTGCATTGTTAGAGAGAGTGGGGAAAAGGGAATTCTGTAACTTAATTTGTTGAACGCAAATTAGGCGATGTAATGTGCGTGTATGCAAAGCGGTATCCAACGATGGGAAGTTTTGATTGGATGATTGCAATTTTTGCCTTGCTAAATTAGAGTCAAGCAAATGCGGTTCATTAAAGGTGATGAACACGTAATTTGCGTTTAGCAGCGTCAATGCAGCCATGTGTGTAATTTGCAATTTGTATTGGTATTCGTTAGGAGGAATGATTTGGTTCGAAATTAATGATAAGCTTTACACAAAATTAATATTTTTTTTATTCGATTTTTACAGACCTACTGCACAAGGAAATGAGCGTAAGCAGCCTGGATCTCTCCTCGTACGATGGAAGTCAATCGCCTGGATCCGGTGGAACTCTTACACCAAACTGCCGAACCAAACGGATGCGTACGTCGTTCAAGCACCACCAGCTCCGGACGATGAAATCCTACTTCGCTATCAACCAAAACCCTGACGCCAAGGATCTGAAGCAACTGGCCCAGAAGACGGGCCTTTCCAAGAGGGTACTTCAAGTGAGTGATGCCTTTCTCCGTGGAATTAGTCCATGACTCATATAAACCGTCTACTTATACGCCCACCAGGTCTGGTTCCAGAACGCCCGCGCCAAGTGGCGTCGAAACGTGATGCGCCAGGATGGCGGTCTCATGAATCCGGGTCAACCACTGGGCGGCCTTCCATCGATTACGACCGCCAGCCTGCATCATCATCACCATCACCTCACCAGTGCCAATCCGAGCAATAACAACAGCAGCGACGGAGACATGTCCTCCAGCCAAGCTTTGGAAGAGATGCACAATATGACCTTTGCCGAGCTGTACTGACACAATCTGATGATCAAGAATATGATTTTGTCGAATGTGATCAAACTGTCGCAAAATCAAGCTCCACCTCAACCACAACCACCATCATCGGAGCAGCAGCAACAGGATCATCAACCTTCTCTGATGATTCCAATGCAGGCAGAACCGAATCTAGATCCGAACGCCAACCCAACCGATTCCGGTATCAGTGATAATTGCAGTGGAAAACTGACGCCCAGTTGGAGCAATATCTACACCGAAACTAATCATTAGGGAGTTGTATAATAAAACCAAGCAAGATGCAGAAAATGAGAGTAGAAAAAAAACAGGCTAGGGGTGTGCAATAGAATTAACAGGTGATTAACATCGACGCTAATTACATGCTAGTTTTCACGTCTAGTTAACGACAAGTGTGTATCGGAGACACAAATCAGGACGTAGTGAGCGACAAAATGTCTGCTAGTCACGCGAGATCCGTTACAATGTAGTTCACACAGTCACGGTTTAGCGGTACGTACCGAGTATGTAGGATACCTTTGGCAGGGTGCAGTTCAAATGGAATGCATCAGCAAATGTAGAGTAGTTTGAGAGGGCATTGCCGTTTGGACTTGTGGTTTATGATTTTGTAAAAGCTGTCTTAATTCAAATTTTCTACAATAACAATTGTGTTAACTGGACCTTAGGTGCACCATTTTCAGCGATGTAATTTATATGGAGAAACATAAATTTGACAATCTTTGAAATTAATTTATTTATCTTTGGTATAAACAAATTTTCAGAAGCAAATTATTGCCAACAAAAGTTATTAAATCAACGAATAACTTATTGATCAAGTGGAAAGTCTCATTTGAATTGACTTGAAAAATCAAATAAAAATATATTTCAAGCATTTCATTCAAAGAAAATTTGTTATAAATATTAATTATTGCTTGTCCAATAATTCAGAATAAGAGCTCCAAACTTATTTGATATATGATTACTGTATTTTGCAGAAGAGATTCCCGAATAATCTTTACAACTCGGGGCTGGGGCCAGATTAGCAGGCTTGATGGAGCCTCACTCGCGAGTTTGAAATGAGCTGAGCGTAGCATTTTTCTGAGGAGTAGAATGCCTACTGCCAAATCATTCCCCTGAGCTTCTGAGCTTGTGAGCGAAGGGGGATAAAATGAGAGTGAGGTTTGCTGCCATTGGCGTTGACGGCGACTCTGTAGCTCTTTACTCCTATGAGAAAATCCATAAGTAAACGTCAGACTGTGCGTGAAACATGGCGGACTTTGTACTATCCTTTCACTCCACTGAAAATTCCCATAAGAAAGTGTCTAAATTTGCTGGAAGAGCAAATTTTTCGACAGTGCCGTCAACGCCAATTCATGTTCATGTTTTCTATCACACGCTCTTACTCTCATTCTGGGTGAACTCTGAGCTGCTTGCGTCGAACAAAAAAGTCATCCGGAGTCAAATCATCCTCTCGCTGAAGTTCACTCTCCCTATCTCTTGAGGAGTTTTTGTTTACTTCTTCCATATTCCTGCCGCCACTCACTCGAGGTGAGGGCTGGCTAAACTCGCAGGACAAGAGTGTTTTAAAACCTCCAGTGAGTTTGAGAAGTTTCAGCAAGCCTGCAGATTAGATCTAGATTGTCAAGGGTATTGATGGTGGCTTGCAAGAACCACTTTAAAAAGTTGAAACCAATTGATCACTTTCCTACTCATTAATCCAAGCCTCTACAGTTCAGTATTGTTTAACTACGGAGCTGTTCATAAATTAATATTAGCTATGCGCAAAAATATCATTTAACATGTGCTCTTCTTATAAAAGCTAAGTACCAAAATGTATCACACTTAGTTAGTTAGTTTTTTCTACAGAGTTCGGCTGTGCAAATTTCGGCAAAAATAAGTTTCACTGAGATCTCAGCAAAAGTGGCATCAAATTTTGATTGCTGAGTCTCGGATAATGCTTAGCTGAATCTTAGCAAACAAATGAAATGTTTGCTGGGATCTCAGTAAAACTTTTTTTGCTGAGATTTCCACAGCCGAGCTCGGTAGAAAAAAACTAAGTGTGTATAAGGGAATTTTTAAACACCCATCCAGATTACTATGCGCTCATATCAGCAAAATTGCACTGCAAACACACAACATGTCTTCATCCAGATTCTATTTACAACTTTAAATGTGGAATGAAAATACTAATATTCAGAAACAGTTGTTTGGAAAAAAGTATGAGGTTGTATCCAAAACACGACCGTAGATTTGACGTAGGATTACGTGCTCGGTATAAGCTTTCGGCGACTGTGTTTGGGAAACAATTTTTTTCCATCACGGAAACGCCCCGTTTTCTGATGACAAAATTACGCATTTTCGCACGGAATTTGTGGTTTACTCAATAGATAATAAAAAAAAATCAAAAACTGAGTGGAGGAATTTCTCGCTAAAATTTTCCAATTGTGAGATATTCGCGATTAATCCTATAGATTCGAGATTTTTTGCAAGGTCATGTGGTATTCAGTCATTGCGAGAATTTTTATGCGACTCACGAAGAGCTACTGAATCTGATCGGTAGCGGTGTGGCTTCGTCCTACTTCTTCGGCGAATAGACGCTCATGTGGGCTGCAGCTCGCTGCTTGCGATAAGCCTTTCGTTATGTACAGGAGAACAATGTTCAACGCCATGTGCCGAAAGCACTGCTACTGATGATGACGACCGACCGGACACCACCACACACGGTGATTGAATAAGCACCGTTCGGTGAGACCGGATGGAATTCGATTTTGAAATCTGTGTTAGGGAAAGTGCTTTTTGCAGGCAATCGGTGGTAATTTTGTTCACCATTGCAACAGTTGGACATTTGTGTAATTTTTAATACTGATCTATTGAAAATTGATAAAAAGCTCATTTTAGAAAATTTGTTAAAAAAATCTAATCGATTGGCTTGTTTAGAATTAAAATCCATCCGCTATTGACAGAGTTAGAGCACCCGCACCAATGCGTTGCTAAAGCTATTTTAGCAACCTTCACCATAACGCAGTAACTGCACTGGGGGTTGCTATTCAAGTGCGGGAAATAACAATCTATCTATGAAATGTTTGTTTTGTTTTTCATTTGAACATTGTGATTTATGAATGAATTTGGATCTTTGACAAAAATGTGAACCCAACGGACAGCAAAGCATTCCTTTGGAAGACCCGGAACATCCATAAATGTGGAAAATTAGTAAAAAAGGATCTAGATTTTTAAATCAACTTGTTGCTATGCTGCATGAATGAATTTGGATTTGAAACCAGTATGTGCACTCTGGTGGCCATGGAACGGTCCTTCGAAAGATACAGAAAATCCGTATAGGGGATCAATTTTTAGAAAAGATCCTAGAGCTCCGTATTTTTTTAAATCACATGCTACATTAATGAATTTGGATCTGGGACCAGGGGTTGAAACAGTTGACGTTTTTTACTACACTCGCTTCGTTGTCGTGTGCGACAGTCTGTTTTTATTCCTACACGCATGCTCTACCGTCGCCTCTCTCACACAACACAACCGGTATAATAACATTCTAGCGAAAAGAAAATTATCAAATAACTATCATATGACATGAGTAATTTCGTTCTAGTTCCTCAATTTGGTGTAAATTAAACCATTTCTGATCAGAAATGTTATTCCTAGGACATCATTGCTTGCTATTTTCAGAATTCACACAAGCACAACATCAGCAGCTCTTATTATGAGAAAAACTAAAATACATACATTCGTGACGGTCTTCGGCGACAGTGTCATATGACAGAGCTTGTCGTATGACATTTGAGTTTGGTACTGTACTATGATAGCTTATTTTCCAAGTGTCGGAGGCAAAAGCAGTTGATTATCACAGAAAATGTGTCGACTACCGTGACCGCTTAAAAGACTGTCTGGGACCATGCGTAAAAGTGATCAATTCATAAAAAAGATTCTAGAGCTTCACGATTCACTTATTCTGAACTGACACGTATGAATTAGGATCTAGGACTAGCATATATGCAACCAGGTAGCGGCGTGGTTCTCTGGAAGATTTTGAACATCCACAAAAGCAGACAATTCGCGTAAAAATCCTAGTTTTATTTGGACTTCCGTGAGTTTTTGAATTTTTCCTAAAGTTCATTAATTTTTCTATTGTTCCGTGAACTTTAATCCTAATTATAAAATTTCCTGAAGACCTCGCATTGAACATTGAAAAATTCTTGAAATTCTTGAAATATCCCATAATTCTTTTGAATTCCTTGAAATATCCTGCAATTTTCCTCAAATAAATGAAACTGATATGAAGACCTCTAATAATCTCCGAAGTTCCGAGAACTTCCCAAAATATAATGAAACAACAAAAAAATCTATATACTTCTCTGAAGGTCTCTAGATGTTCTTGAAGATTTCAGAACATTTTAAAAGATATCGCGATTTTCTTGAACATAATCTGATCGTTTCTGAAGTTCCTGCATTTTTTTTTTTTGCGGTTCTTTAAGGGGGTAGTACACTTTGAACGTCCAAAAAGTAAGGCATTTTAGTTAATTTTTTTAAGCAATAAAACACTCAGGGAGGGCAAATATGTTATAACCCATTTATCAGTCATCCTTCGAACTACAATTTGTATTTTTTTGAACTCGATTGGTGCCTCCCCGTGGCCGGTGCACCAGGTCACGCGGGCGTCCTCGCGCGGAAGTCGGAAAACGGCGTGGGAAAATACTCCTTTCCATGTGATCCTGGAAGATAAATCGAACAAAAATCCTGATTAGTAATGAAATTTGGGTTAGAAATACATATTTCGATTTTTTTTAAATTAATTTTTTTCAAAAGTTGTGTCCTTAGGAAAAAAAATCCATTTTTTCACCCTAAAAATGCTTACAAAATCGTGGATTAAAAATCCAGTTTTTGACAAAATCGAAAATGTGGATACGTATTTCTAAGCAGAATTTAATTGTGAACAAGAAAACCTAGGCAATATCCAAATTTGATGATAACTGGTTAGAGTTATTCCTCACGCCAGTTTGAAAAACCCTGTTTCGAGATAAACGTGTTTAAAGATAAAATTTTCTCTCAGCGCGCCGGTACATGTTTTAGGAAATCGCTTCGTAAAGCGGTAAGGAATATTCTGGCCTTATATTGTAAGCCAAAAAAATACATTTTTTTTTTAATCAAAGTGTACTCCCCCCTTAAACTGCATTGAAAACCATGAAACTCCCTTAAAATGATCTCACATTTTCCTGATGCTCATGTAACATCTCTTATGTTTCTGAAATTTAAATAAAGGTCTTGGTACTTTGATGAAGTTTCGGAAATACCCTGAGTTTCTTGGAGCTTCTTAAACATTCTTCAATTTCCTTGAAATTAGTTGAACTGTTCTTAGTTTCTCTGATAAGTCCTTCTGCTTTCAAAGCATTCTCAATTTTATTGAAGTTCTTGGCATTGTCCTGAACTAAATAGAACTGTCCAAAAATTCTCGAAGTTTTTCTGAAGTATATGGAATTGACCGGAATTTATCGGACCATACCCATACAAATCATCAAACTTTCCTGAAAGTCTGGAATTTCTTGAATTTCACGAAGTTATAAAGTTATTGAAAGTGTCGT